GCACTGTCAAGCTGCTCGAGAAGGCTAGACTTTGTTTTATGAATCTGAATTAAGAGAGGTACACTTAACTGTGATGGCTACGGGACTAATGACACAATGTCTTTTGACTATTTTGGCTATTTTTGCATACTTTCTTTTGGGTTTTTTTAACTTACTATATAATCTAGCAAATCAGTGCCCATTCCAATAGTTATATTTGTTTTTGCTGTGATCTTAAAGTGAATAATATAGGGCTAGTATATTTAATGTAGTAAAGCATCTAGTTTCTCTTTAACTGGATACAAAAGTTGTGCTGTGTTATACGTGATGATGCACCACAGCATCTGCACCCTGCTTTTCTAAATCCTACCTCCACCCGTGGATGCCAAGATTGGAGACACCCCAAATCTTGTGGGGGTATGGATCAGCCTGCTTGATCCTATCACCTGCAGATGTCTAGTTTCTCCCCCATTTGGAGGGGAGCCCATTCCCATTCCTCATTCAGATGATCTATCCAAGTGTATGTCATCATGCAGCATGTAGGAAAAACACCACTTTAAATGCTTGCAACAATGCCAAAAGCTGACAAGAGCAGAACACATGCTCCATTTTGACCCAAAATGAAGGAAAAGCCATTGGAAAGTATATCATACCATTCCATAGCACTAAAATATCCTAACTTATAAACCAGGCTCTTTTTCTGGGAAAGCAAATTTATCAGCCAAAGTCACTTTGGTCCTCTGGCTATTAAATATAATAAAGCTGGCTTTAGACCTTACACCTGCTCTAAGCCAGTGAGGATGGTGGCTGTAGTTTCAGACTCTCTCTGCGTTCCCAGAAATCAAAAAGCATCACCCTGCTTCCTACTATGCACAGTATTTTATTATGAGGCCCTCCAAGAAAAGGTTATTAGGCATCTCCACCCTGCTAGCAGGATGAATTAGCAAATGCCATCACCCAGCCCTTGGGGAGACTCAGCCTCTGCAGGGAGAGGTGGGTGGAAACGTTCCTGGTTGCTCTGGCATTTCACCACCCAGCAGCCCCAGCTACGATGGCTGGCACTGGGCGGCCAAAGCCCATGGCATGCCAACTGCTTTAGAAAAGCAAACATGGGCTGATCTCTGCCTGGAAAGCACATATTTGTAAACTTATACAAACTGATAAACTGCATGTTATATCGACACTGCAGATAAAGAATCATGCCACTTAAAGTATATGGCCCGCACTTTGGATGCCAGACAGAGAACGCGATAGACTTGCAATATCCTCGGTAGGGGAGTGGGTAGTGGGTAACGGGGCCCTTCTTGGCCAGTGAGGGTGGTGTTGGTGGGAAGGGCTAACTAAAGGCAAGGCACCAAAATGTCATTTCATTCGGACCCAAGAGAACAGGAACCAACGAAAGTGTCTGAACAACCCCCTGCAGCCCAAAACCACCAAGTTTCATGCAGCTGCACCAAGTAGGGTTTTCGTACTCAAGTGAAAGCTGCTTAAGGTACAGAGCATGGACACAGGTGGCTCTCACATTTACACCACATATGTGGCAAGTGGCTGAACTTCAGAGCACCTTGCTTTACCCACCTGGGGAACGGGAATAATTCTGAACGCCCTCGCAATGAGGGGGTTGAGGCTCCAAAAATGTCAGTGATTCATGGAGAGATCCCCAAAGGGCAAGCACTAAGAGACACCAACGTACTCTGGTGCAGGTTGTAGCTACGTTGGTCTAACGACACAGGCAGACAAAATTCTTTGCATAAATCTGATGTCTTTTATTAGACCAGCTCAATCTTGAGCTGGTCTAATAAAAGATATCAGAACCTTACTTATCAATGTACTTTGGCATTTCTAGCCTCGCCTGGTAGGTAAACAGTGACACCAGCCTGAGATGCCAAATAACCTGGCTCTGCCACCGACCTCCTCTCTGTCCCTCACTTTCTTCTTCAAAATACCTAATTCCTTAGTAAACCATTTTTTTGCAGGACTATGGCTATAGCAAACTCATGGCTGTTATTTATCAGGCCCCCTAAAGCTCAGGCTAAATCCTCCACGCAGGTGATGGAGCCTAATGCCGCTAACGTTAATTGACATCAGCTGAGGATGGGGCCCCTTGTTTTTAAGCCAGTGGAAATGGCATTAATGCTGATTTCTGTGCAGGAGGCTTTCACATAACAATTCCTTCACTCCAGAGCCAAATATTAAAGGAGAATGAATAGCTGTGCAGTCAGGAAGCCTTAGCCAGGAGCTCCCTGGGGAGTTATGAGAGTTAGAGAGACTTTTTAAAGAAAGGGATGCCCCTACCTAGGGCAGGGAGCTAGGCCAGATGACCTCCTGAGGTCATCCCTATTTGTCTCTGACCTTATAAATTATCCATAATGAACAGACTCCACATCCTGAGCAGAAGCTGAGCTCCCCCCACAGCCACGGTGACTACAGCAAGCGTGACAACGGCTCAGCCAGGGGCGTTCAGACCATCACCCCCCGCGTGGACCAAAAGCACTCCCTCCTCTAGCAGGATCCACTTGTCGCCTCTAGCTGTGGGGTTACACGCCACGTTATTTTGGGACCTCCTCTCTGCTCTGGGTCTGCATTTGGGAGGCCTGGCCCCGGCCTCGGGGATGCCAGGGCAATAGCAACACAGACCGTGCTTTCTGCCAGGTCAGAACGCAACCGTGCCCCGTCCCTCGGCTATATTCTTGAGCCATATTGCTGTGGAAACAGAAAGAGCCGTCAACACTTGCAGCAGGTGGCTCCAGTCCAACGCAGGGTGGTGGTTTCTGGGGAAGAGCTAGTTCCAAGACAGCTGTGAGAACCACAAGACGTGTTTGTGCCCCCGGCGTGTCATGGGCTTCACACACTGGCACACATTGTTCCGTGACCCACCAAAGCTAATTTTGTGCCGCCGTGTCGCCTGCCCACCTCCATGCTCTCAGGAAGGGCCAGGAGAGAAGAAGTGGGTCTTCTTTGGTTATTCACCCGTGCAGAAACCCACTTTTCTTTTGAGCAAGGAGCCCAGGATGGAGCAGGGTCTAACAGCTTGACTTCTTCACGTCTCGCAGGACTTGGTGGGAAAATAGCTTTCGGTGCCGGGGATTCGGCCCTTGGGATGCACCCTCCATTCAGACAGGGCCCTTAGAGAAGGGACAGAAGTAAAATGAGCCTTGCCCCCTTTCCCCCTCCAGGGCCCCGATTCAGAGTACGTGTTTCATCACACAAGAGCTGGAGAGCAGCCAGCAACATTTTGCAGGCAGCGGGTTTGAAACAAAAAAAAGGGAGCTTTTTTTTTTTTTTTGTATAACCAACACATCATAAATTTGCTGCCCCAAGCTGTTGCAGAGGCTGGGTGCAGGAACAAGCTCAGACTAATGTATGAAGAGCAGGTCCATCTGGGCTATGAATGTTACCGCAGACTCTGGACAGCCCCGTAGCCGGTGGCTGGGAGGGAAGGAAGTGCTGTACGCATGCCCGGTTTCTTATATTCACCGTCTAAAGCATCTATTATTTGCCACCATCATAGGCAGGGTCCTGGGCTGGATAAGCTTTGGTCTGACCCAGCGTGGCACTTACCGTGAGGTGTGCGTGCATGTGGACCGAACAAGCCCGATGCTGGCTCCTTTGCAGCAGGTTTGGGATTAAGGGGAGCACAGTCGAATGGGGCCATTACGGCAGAACAAGATAGTCGCGGGAAGCTGGACCTTGCTATAACCCTGCCATAAGCCAGATACAAGAAGGGCTAAATCTGCTGCAGGCACTGCTGAGACCGCGAGACATCCACCCAGCCGCCATCGCACTTTCAGATACCAGTAAAGTCTGCTGGACAGTCTGGGTGCCCCACCAAAGGTGCCTACACGATTCCACCCCCAAATGACTCCATCTCCTGTTGTCTAAGCATCTGCATCCTAAAGTAGGCATTGTCTTGCCTAATGCCGATCCACCTGCGGGGCCTAATCCTATGGGGATTTGGGAGCGCGTCAACCCAATCAAGGCTCACGCCAAAGACGACGAGGGATGCTGGCTGGTCCATTTTACCCTGCTCCCCACTCACCTGGGAGGGGACCTCTTGGATGGTCGCTCTAATGCGAAGTACAGACTTGACCCAGGGCTCTCGCATCGGGGAAGGGTGCCCAAATCACTGGGCAACTGGTTACTCTAGGGTGATTGCTGTAGATACTGGTTTCTATGGAATATTTACTGGGTCAAAGCAATCGTGGTGGGGAAACATATCTATAGGCAGGAGCTAGGGAACTGAGGTGGAAGCTGTTTCACAGGGGCTTGGACCAGGCTCCTCAGGTGCAAAGTCTTGGCCATAAAGGCAGGGAGTTAGGCACTGTTTTAGGAGGCAAGAGACCTGGTTCCAGCCTCCGCTGCTAACTTGGGCAGAACAGGGAGGGATTTGGGGGGCACAGGAAGTGAAAACAGGTTTCCCTCTGTTCCCGGGAAGCAACCTTGCCCCCAAGCTGTGGGTCAGGTCTCGCCTCACTCCTCTCACAGAGAACTGGAGCAAGGCCAGCCCTGTGTGGACACAACCGAGCATCTCATGCCGAAGCAGGCACCTGCACCCCGGGCATCTCCTTGATGTTTCCTATGGTCAGCACCCTCCTCAGCTGCCTGGCTTGGAGAGTCCCAGTCCTCAGGCCTAACTCTGCGCACTACATCGGGCCAACAATATTGCAACCTCTCCCCACTTCTGCCAATGTAGTCTGTGCACCGCAAGCCGTCTCTCACAGGGCTTCATGTTACATGGAAAGAGTGGGGGACATATCAGTCCTTACTTGGGACAGACTTACGAATTCCTCTGCCTGAATACTGGATATTTCGCCCTTGCAAAAAGCCGTGTTTCCTTTCACAGGCTGGAGCAGGGTCTAGCAGCTCAACTTGTGCACCTTAAAAATACATGTGCAAAACTCAACAGCTGGTTTTCCACAGTTTGATCCCTAAACTCAACTCCCTGTTAATGAATAAATCCCTGCTAATGAATAAATGACTTCCCAATACTGCAAAAGGACATTGCACCCAGGAATTAATTCTCCCAGGCACTGATCCTACTCTAAGGCTGAACTCAGCACGGTGGAAGATAAGGGCCCAGTGTCTCACAGGGTCAGATGGTGGGGATACACAGTGTCAGCTTAGCTGACCAAGGCAGAAGACGTCCTCCCATGAGTGACCCTGAAGAAATGCAACAGCGACATCCCCCTCTTTTGGAAGGGAAAAAGGATCCCCGCTCCACCCAACTCAAACCAAGTTCATTTTGCCGTTAAAAGAAAAACAGAGGTACAGAGATTTAAAAAATAGAGCACTTTAATTGTAAAAGGAAAAAAACAACCAAAAAACTTTTATAATCAGGCATAAAAATAAATATGCAGCCTAGTAGAAATTCACATGAGGGACTGCTTGGGGCTCTCAGCTGCAAAGCACGCACGTCAGACATTGCAGAAATCCACCTGGTCCATTTGCACAGAAAGCATGTTAGTCAGGATTTGCATATACCCACGCCCTGCCTACCATGGACCCACCTTGAATGGGGAGCACATGCACTCCTGAGGTTAAAGTCAACCTATTAACACTTTGCCACAAACTTTAAAACGAACATTATTTTGCATATCATATGTATATATAAAACTCTCTTTGGCTAGGAAAATTTAAAAAAAAAAAAAAAAAAAAAAAAA